AGTGTTTAAAAAGCTAATTTGGATTTAAATAATTAATATTTGCTTTTCCTTATTTGCCAGTTTGATTTTCCTCTAATACTAAAATGGTGGTGCCTCATTCTCTTGGATAATTTTGCTGTTGAAAGGTATCTTTTTCTCGCTTACGTTTTTATCTGTCCAGCAGACTACAAATTACCATAATTTTTTCGCAGGAAACATGTCCTCACTGCGTGCAAGTGCCGGAAGAGCAGGAGATTGAAATCTGCAGCAGGGGATGTTTTTTTATATCTCAAATTTGAGAAAAACATTTGAGAAAAACAAAACAAAAAAAACAATCAAAACTTGATAATGCTTGCTACAACCTGACTAAAGCTCATGACTTTTTAGTATTATGTGTTATTGAATGCACAGTATTATTGAAGGTATTTCCAACACTTCATTCCATTTGTTTGTACACCTCATTCAGGAGCCAAGGATAACAAAAGACCTCCATACTGCAGTTGGAAGGCTGTGGAAAAACCTCTGTGTCTTCAAAGGTTTGGTGAAGAGCTGAGGTTCCTCCAACTATCTATCTATCTATCTATCTATCATCTGATTAAACCGTTATAATAAAATGCTGACTTGACATCAACGTAGAGTAAAACTTTGAAGTGATCCAAAACACTACGTGGCACTATGCTTAGTAAGATAACTTTTGCTCCGCCCACTTCCGGCTTGACGCTGCTGGCCTGGCACTGCTGTCCTGAGACTGCTGTGACGTAAGGGTTCTGCGGTTCTGCAGCTGGATGTATCTCGTGCGGTGCGCCTTGCGTTTTCAAACTTGAAAAATGCGTTCTGTCTGATCGGGGCCTAAAAGTGAACAAAGGAGGCAACACTTGTAATATAATTACACATTTACAAACAAAACGCCATCTACCGCAAGCAATGCGTTGTATTTACTATGCCTCCATTGTCTCCCAGCTCCAGCTCTAACTACAACTTGCGACATACATTCACATCAAATTTTAATTCAGTAGTAGAGTTACATTTACGGGACACTGCACTTATTCACAGATTTAAAAATACATTATTTACATGTGCTTTAAATCCTTGCTGGTTAAATATTTTATTCGCATGCTGTTCTGACACCTGAAGTGCACGCACACTAAAAAGCCGGTCAAACAACGCCTGATTACTGGACTAAGTTATATTTCGCATCTAACTGCGCTAATACCATCAAAAACACACAAGGTTTACATAAACGCAGTTGGTTGTGTCTAAAGTGAAAGTAAACAGTTGAGCTTGAACTTGAACTGAACCCAGAATGTATCTTTAATGCCGAGTCACTTTCTGCTGCCTTCTGCCACGACGAGTCTACATCAAAATGTTTCTTAAGGTTTCACAGTGACATATAGGAAAACAAAGCCATATGCTTGAGGGACTCTGTTAGTGAGGGTACTTCGAAGAGCGAGTGAGTTTCAGGAATCGCTACATCACGTGTCAAGTCGGCTCTCTAAGGATACGTTCCTTCAAAGAGCAAACGAGAAATGAAAGTCTGCCACTGAGACCCAGTGAATGCATAATGCCGTATCATTATTTACACAGTCCATTCGGAATAACCGAGATAGCGCAAAGCCTCTGGAAACCTTGTTTCTGCTGCTCTTAACTCAGTCTCCATCCATTAACCATAAGCAACAAAAACTCATGGAAGCTTCAAAGAGAGGAAGCTCTCCAAATCTGGACTAATAGATTGCCGGCCGAGAAGGACCCATAAGGAGTAAATAGTCTATCATTACATTAGACAGAAAAATAATACTTGTGCCACTCAACAATTCAAAAAGCTTTAGAGACAAAACGAACCAAGCAAATGTGTAATCACCTGTATCATCCAAAAGCACTGCAGTCAGATGTGTATCTATGAGCACGCAAGCTACCGTGCAGAGATGAAAAGAGAACCTTTATTCCCAGAGAGGAAAGAGATGAGACCAACAAACAAGATTTCACTTTGATATTTGTTCACAGAAATACATGTAAGAAATTAAGACCTAGAATTACAAACAAGGCCACCTAAGAGAGCAGGAACCTCTACTAATTACAAATTTACAGCTAATAGGTTAAGTCTTAGACATTACCCTGAGTAAAATAGAATATTTTTATTAGGCTTGTCATTAAGTTGACAATTAGAGTTGTATGGCACTATTCACAATACATAACATTTCAAAGCAGCTTTACAGAACATGCACATATCAATGAGACGTTGCATTTACATACAAAAAGAAAAGTCTGCTAAATCTATACAAGACCAATAGACAAACAAATCTAGCTCAAGTAAATTACAAGTCTTCAATTTAAATGAAAAGCTAACATTACTTTTTATTTTGCTATATGAAGGTCATATTAAAAAAAATTTTTTTTTGCCATGCCACCTTTTAAATATATTTTTAAAATGCCATTTATATATATGTATCTTAAACTGTGAACCTTGTTGTTTTATGAATCCCGTGTTTAACAACAGTTAAACAAGAAGGATAACAAAAAAAAGCGATATTTACATTTTTAAAAATGATTACTGTCCCATCACATTTATTTACTTGTGTGTAGTTAAGATGCACAAAATGCAACACAAACATAAAATGTTATTTCCATCAGAATGCTACTGAACAAAATACATTATTTAACATAACATGACATGGTGATAGGAATATTCGTGAAGGAAATATTACAGAATTTACCTGCAATGTCAGCTTTTTATATATATATATATATATATTTTGGTGGACAAATTAAGTAAACTTGTGTGTGAAAAGTGTGTTAAAAGTCCAGAGGGCAAAAAGCGCCCATAGCTGAAGAAAGACCCTCAATAAAAGTCTTGTCAATGCTTTAAAACTGCCTGGTAGCAAAATACCACTAATATATCCTAAACCTCAAGGAGTCCTTCCAGCACAAAAATTTAACAAAGTAAGCCTCTACTTTTTCCTAATAGCTTCAAAGACTTCTGTACAGCTAATGAGAGAGGGGATGTCATTCAGGGAATGACTAATGGCGGCACTCAACATATGGGCGTTAACGTTCTCAGTCAAGGGTTTTCCTGGCATTCCGGGATACCGCAGGCAGTGAGACTCTGCTCTATTCTAAGACCGAAAGATTTTGGGCCGTATCCAACTGGAATGGCTGAGAATGGAAGCTACCGCATGAGTGACTTTCGACAGCTGCCAGGCTTCAGAATACCAGTCACACAGTTCAGCACTTCTTCCACACAAGACTAAACAAAATTCATCTGAACGTCACATGTCACAAATACAAATCCAATCATTGATTCCCCTTCTACAGTCTATTATGATTCAGCCATGTGTCACAGTCTCGCAACAGCGACACTTCCAGCTAAACAAAACAGATCTCCCACTGCTAACGTTAAAGGAAAAGATTTATGTCATTATTTCAATCAAATTCTCTGCTTTTGAAACTACTAGGACTGGATGGTATGACAAAAATCATAATGAGACTTTTATTTCAAACTAACAGTACATATTAGATATATCCATGTATACCTAATATACAATATACATTACATAAGCATGTAGTAACTTATTAGTAAATATTGATAACACTTTGGACCAATTCTCACTATTAACTAGTTGCTTATTAGCATGCATATTATTAACAAATTGGCTGTTGCATCATTAGTACTTATAAAGCACATATTCTGCATGACCATATTCTACATCCCTAATCCTATTCAATACCTAAACTTAACCCTTTAGGCGCCAGGGATTTTTGGGAAAAATGCTGGATTTTGACATCAAGATTTCAAAAGCCCACCTCTTTGGGCAGCTAGTGCTACCTCCAGCCCTATTTCTCCTACCCCTGCTGCCTCTACCTCTAGCAACCTTAGAGGGTTAACAACTACCTTACTAACTATTAACAAGCAGCAAATTAGGAGTTTATTGAAGCAAAAGTCATAGTTAATGGCCTGGACCTTAAAATAAAGTGTGAACGAAATGTTTTACAAACGTAACATAGTTAATCTCTCCCTTTTTCTCATTTAAGAAAAGTGAAAGTGACGTGACATGTGGCCAAGTATGGTGACCCATACTTGGAATTAGTGCTCTGCATTTAACCCATCCAAAGTGCACACACACAGCAGTGAACACACACTGTGAACACACACCCGGAGCAGTGGGCAGCCATTTATGCTGCGGCGCCCGGGGAGCAGTTGGGGGTTCGGTGCCTTGCTCAAGAGCACCTCATTCGTGGTATTGAAGGTG